GTTTTAACTATAGTGTTAAAACATAGCAATGTGAGATAAACGCGATTCAAGCAGCGAACTCTATTGTCTATCAATGTGACCTTTTAAACTAATGAAGCTTAAAGTTCATGATATTAGGCATACTATCCAATGAAAGTCTCATCTTAACTGTATTTTGTATTCTTCCAAAATTAACAAAATTGGATCTCAATTTGCAGAGCTTTGCATCATGTACAAGAATGTATCAACGTGTATGGAAGCAACAGATTCATGCGATCATCAGTGTTCGTTTAACGATGCATGATCACTAGACTTGAGTAATAGTGGCAATTGCGTAAAATATGCCACCTAGTGTCACTATTAGTACTCGCCAGCGTGCCACTGTTAGGGGTCTGTGACACACTCTGTGAAGTGCCGTGGAACCAGGATGGCGGTGCGCACTATTGACTATTTGATTTGTTGGCTTGTGCTGAACTATCCATCTAAAGAAGCGAACTACATCATTCCAGACAGGCCACGAGGTGACATACAGTCTACGGGTGACTGATGTTGATTCAAAGATGAAATTGATCCGTAGTGTTGTTTGCCGATTTTGTGAAATTTTTGGGAGAGAGAAACAAACTGGAAGGAAAAGAAAGTCAACAAGTAATGCCTAGTACTACACAACCTCGTTTAGGCTTGAGAGCTACCGCAAGCACAACAAGACACCTCACAAGTTCAATTGGATGAAGTATCAAGCACTTGCAGATGACAAAAAGGGGAGCTTCTTTGACAGAGTAGTGCAAATCAAGAACTCTTCTCAGCCATTTTAGATTTGAAATTGCACCGCGACTCTTCAAATTGATTTGGCCATTGTCGACACGATCATTGGCAGCATGTATTTTGATTTTGATGATAAATCTGATTTAGATGAAGAAGCCTACGAAGTGGAGGTCGCTCTCTGCAGAGATGGTCGCCGCCGTCCAGACCTAACACTTTCAGAAATCCAAAAGCGGCCTTTGAGTATCTTCGTTCGGGCCCAAGATTCTTCTTCAGAGAATAATGAAAATGCTCATGTTGCTGCGTACAAGGTAGCGATCAAGAACGACATCTTGTTTGATATCGTCATTGAGTTCACTTCCCTTGGTTCATCATTTCGCCTCACTTCTTGTCTTGCTAAGTCGACGAAGGAACTCACAAGAATGGCTTGCTACTCTGGTTGCAACCGTCGCAAAGTCTCATCGTTCCTTCAAGTGATGTGCGCATCAAACCTGCAGATGCTTTTTGATCTTCTTACCTATTGCTAGGCTTTCTCGTTGGCATCGGATGGGTCTGCACACTAATGCATATCCTATCTTGACATTCGATTTCACTTTTGGACCGGCGACGACATCCACAACTTTCACTTGTTGGCTTTGCCTACGAACAAGCGTCACACGTGACAATCAATGTTCGACACGGTCGTGAAGGTGTTGGATGTCATTTGTCCAGACTGGAGAGACTATTTGATCGGCTTTGCGACCGATGAAGCAAGGAACATGAGAGGACGGCACGTCGGTCTGCTGACCTTCTTGGACAATGCCACTGGATCCAATTTTATCAAGGTTTGATGTGGTGCACATCAGCTTGACCTCATCATGGCCGACGTTTATCACAACTTGCTCCAAGACAAATTCTATTATGTTCTCGTGGCCTTTATTGGCTACGTGCAACGCCAGTAGAATCTGATTGCTAAGATGAAGACGACATGTCCGAACGTTGTCATTACACGTTGGTTTTCTAGGATTAATGGCATGACATGATTCAAGAAGCACATTATCGTTGTTAAGGTGTACTTGAACGAGAAGCTCCCGCCATGCCGGCCATCTGCAATCTTGTGGATGCTTAGAATGACACTTCATTCTTTTGCACAAGAAGTGTCACTGGTGTTCATGCGACTCCAGGGCATGACAACTTTGATGTTCCAGCAAATGGTCGAGTTGTCTAATCTATTGCAGATGTTTTGCCGGTTGGTGGGGGGCAAAGTATCATTGTTTCAGTCCGAGTTGCAAGCCATGGCAGAGGCAGCAGGTGATTCCGGTGATCATGTTATGATTGGGCAAAACATCTCTCGAACGTTGAGCAGTTCGTTCGGGGCATTGGAACTTTCATGTCGGCCAAGCTCGACGAGATTCCTACCGAGAACGGCGCGCGGCTTCACGTTTTTCAACTTGTTGGTTTGACGTTTCTTTCAACGGCTTTGCAGCTCATGTCGATCATTGTCAAGCAAAACAATGTAAATGAGCAAGCTTTTGCCAATTATCAATTTCCATTAGTTATGCCGCATGAGCTTCTTAACTACATGCGATTCTAGTTTTGTGCCATCGTTCGCAGGCATATTCTACGATTGCAGCCAGCCAAGTTTACACCACAGCAAATCAAAGACATCGAAGAATAACACGGAGAGCTTATTTAATGCTACCATGCCAAGAAAATTTTGAAATTAACAATCAATGCCTGCGATCACAAGACTTCATTTAGGGATCACAGGTTGAAGTCTCCTTGGATCGCAATTCTTGGCTCTATTTGAGTTTGCAGGAGGCTTGGTTACGGTCTTTCCCGAAACTTCAGCAGTGGAGGCAGATTTCTCCAGGCTAAGGCGTGAGAAGGATATATTCAAGCAGAGCCTTTCTGATTTTGGGCTCGAGTGTGTACTCCATGCTCAACAGCACAAAGTGCTACTAAAAATCACAACGAAGAACTGATGGTGTTGCTATTTATATGGAGTTTGTATAGTGCCACTTTGATGCCACTAATAAAGATCTGGACATGCCACTATTTATTTGATATCGACACTAGTGGCAAATGCCACTATTATGCATGTCTGATGATCACTGTCATGTCTGTCAAGCCGTTTCAATTTTTTGATCGATTTTATTGGCAGACTAGATTCACCGCTTTCCAACACGGAGACGATCAAAAACGTGAAATTCCGGAATGATTTATTTAACATGCCATTGATTGATTTTTTTCTGAAATTATTTGTCCAATGTAAACAATATGATCTTTTGAGCACATTAAAGCAATGAAACATGCAATTTTTTGTTTTCATGATAAGATTTTTGGGAAACAATGTTTATTGGTTGATTGTTGATCAGAGGTGATTCCATCTGTGGTATTTTTTTGCAAGGAAGACATTATTGATCGTTGCTGCGCTTGCTATCACAACCTAGCACCAAGGAGATGCAAAGATACAACTCTGTACATCCTAGAGAACACTCTTGACACTTCGAGAGGTAGCAAACTTATTCTCACAACAGTGATTGTCTCGGCATATAGATTGTACATCCTCAATATTGTTTACATTGACAGGGTTAAATCTACTGTGCCATGTCGATGATGCCCTCCACAAGGTGCTCACTTCCTTCAAGCTACTAGGTTGAGTCTATCCAGAAGTAAAAAGTTTGTTATTATATAATCTACCTTGTTTCTTGAAAGTCATCATGGCTTGCCAAAAAAAGTTATTGATGGTTTCTCTTGAATCAAGCATTTCTCTTGTATGAAAAAAATATCATATATGAAATTTAAAAAATTGATGTCTTTTCTTTCAAAATTGTAAATGATCATCATCACACTACATAGATTGCCTGCATTAAATTTTCAAGCTATTTTTTGGAAAATAAGAAAATATCTTAAATAAATAAGATAATAAGAAAATTTTATATATGTTATTTGTTTAAATGATTTTTCAAGATTATAATTACTTATATTCAAAGACGTTCTTACAAAAGATAAATTCTTAATGGAGATATAAATTTTGATACTCAAAACAAAAGAAATTAGGATTATTTTAGATATTTACATATAAAATTGAAATAATTATAATCTTGCGAATTTAATATAAATTATATACAAATTTCAAAAATAGATCTGATATTTATAATATGTTTCAAATGTTAATATCTATTCTTTGAATAGAATTCTACTTACTTTGCTTATTTAATAATAATAATCAAACTTAAGAGCATAGTGCGTAAATCAATCCACCGAAGTCACTTCATCATCCGCATGAAGATAGTGCGAGTTCGAAATTTCGCCCTTGAGACTGCTGCCAACTGCGAACACCCTAGGGGAGTAGAGTTGAGAGTGGAGGCTTGACATGTATCCACCATGACCAGGCATGGTTATAACAATCACTCCCCTAAATACGGTTAATTTAGTCTCCTCACAAAGAAAATTTCAGTCTACTCAAAAACGTTAATCTAGGTTAATTTAGTCTACTAAGAAGCTAATTTAGACCAATTTAATTTTCAAGAATTTAATATAGACTAATTTAGTCTATATTAAATTTTTTTCGTAAAATTTTTTTTTTATTTTTTTTCAAAAGTTTTACATTAATTTAAACTAAAAAATAAAAAATCCTTCAATTCTACATAAGTGTACACTCCCCGTTGTTTGCAACATGTAGAGGCAACAACACACTCACCTTAATTTAGTATCTTAATCACACGATAGTTTAGGCGACAATATATAACCTAATAGAACCATGCCTGGCCATGGCGGAGAAAAAAACGATAAAGAGAGAGTTGTTGTTAATGGTCCACGACCAACAACTCTCTGTGTCGTTTTTTCTCATACATCTGACCAAAAGCATCTATTAAATCATTGTTCTGTATATCTTCAGCATACTGGTATTTCAAGAACTGATCATCTCCATGACCAATCATGGAGGTGGTCAGAAATTCTAGCGTGTAAAGCAAGATGTTGCTATTTTCATCACTGATCAGCCGCTTGGATAGAGGCACCTCAGCATCACGTGGCCCCGTCAGCAAGCGCAAGAGCTTCTCTACCGACACATCGTAGCCTCTGTAATCCTCCTCCACGTTTGTCACCGTCAAGGTTTAACCACCTGTAAAGAGAAGCTGTAAATACAAGCTCTCAACTTCCTCAACCTCACTTTATTTTAAATTTTGACCGTTGAAATTGAGTTTAGAACGTTGATACACCTCTAGCTTTCCCTCAACCTCTATAAGTACAGATACTCAAGGGCGGCGTAGCGACTGATTGCCTCCAGCACTCGAAGGCTTCTTGCTTCCCGCAAGCACCTGCACGTCCCGTCCTCTCTTCTCTCGCAGAGAACTAACATTTGCTGGTCGGCATGAGCGGTGACATGTAACCGGGGGTACAGGAGGCACTGTCCTCAAAGACCGTGTGGCAAAGCGACGCCGCGGACTGACTACGGATTAGTTGCAGTAAGTTTAGTCAGGGGATCAAAAATTCCTTATGCGTCAAATGGATTACTGTTGATTGGATTTATCTTCTTGTGATTTCTCAAACTAGGATTAGTTGCAATGTATATCTATCTCATTTGTCGAGTCGGTTCTTGCTCCAAGTTTTGTGTAACAGAACTCCCTCCTCGTGAGTACCCCTCACTGACTTGTGATGTACAGTTCCTCTCGGTAATGCCGCGAGACCTATCTTGGTATGAAGGTTTGATTAGACCTTCTGAAACCAGGGACACCATGATACCATGATGTTGAAGTTTGCTCTTTACGAGAAAATGTGGTGGCAGCCCTATCCGATGCAAAAGTCTATCAACATCACGGAGAGGTTGCACATGTTTTTTCGCTCCGGGGCTCATCAGTCACTGTGTGTTATGCAGATCTCTACTCATTTTCGCGCAGTTTGTGAGGACAAATTGAAGATTGTGTCTAAGATCAATTGTTTCAAAGACGAGCTCTGGAATTAGGCCTGGGACAGGATTCCAACGGTCTCATCTTTCATGACGTCTGTGCCGTTCGAAAAGCTGCCTAAACGCAGCCTCTCAACCCTCAAAAACTTGCGTCAAGATTTGCAGGTATGAAAGAGCTTAATCAGAAGGCTACTATCACCACAGCTAACGGCGAGGCACCAACGTAGAGCAACAAAGATTTGCCTCAACGGGATTGAGTATACAGTCATTGATTTCCTCATTTTACCTCCCATGCGGACTTTGAGGCTAATGAGGGTGTTACGATCCAAGCATGCCAAATTACGTTTCATGCGCTTTGGCTCTGCATCCCAGTTGGAGCAGCTGTTGTGAAAGTTTCACCTCCTCATCGTGATCATAAAGAATTCACAGGTGTGGTTAGCTGTGGTGATAATAACCCTAATCTGATTTAGGTCTTCTACAGCTCTTCTACAACTGCAAATCTTTACACTGATCTTCGAGGATAACGCAACTTCCTTGTGGTTCGAATAGTTTAATGCTCGAAGCACCAGGACATTGCGTTTAAGTAGCTATCGAACGGCATGGAGGAAGAGACCATTGGATCTCAGGGTTTTATAGTAACCCTAATCCTTCTGATTTAGCTCTTCTACAAGTGCAAATCTTTACACTGGCTTTCGAGGTTAACGCAACATCATTCTGGTTCGAATAGTTTAATAATCGAACCACCAGGACGTTGCGTTTAAGCAGCTCTTCGAACGGCATGGAGGAAGAGACCATTGGATCTCAGGGTTTGTTCCAGAGCTCGTTCTTGAAACAGTTGGTCTTGGATACGTTGGAGTGGAAAGGAGCCTTGTTGCTGAAAGCATTGGCCGAAGATGATGTCAACCGATCCATTGAATGTCTGCGGTTGGAGGTAAGGAAGGGACAATTTTACTTCTCTTCCAATCTTACATAGAATAGTACATCTAATCCCACATAAGTCCTTCGTGATCAGGTACTCATTTCTTTGTTGATGCCGAAAGATGAAACGAGCTTCAAAGCATTGTGACGTATGACTTCGTCGAGCTGGTGCCATTCCTCATGAAGCATCCGCAAGGAGTCCAGCTCCACTTTTCCCAATGATTAGTTGCAAGTAAGAAGTTTTATCAAACAGCTTTCTGAAACAGTTTTCTTAACATTTCGTCGGTTTTTTTTATTGATCAAAGCTTCCTTTGATCAATGTCAGCTATTGACTTGTGTGTCTGGAACCACGGCTCGGGAGTAAGCAGGATCCAGGTCGGCTCTGGAGGAAACGCAATCTTGAAGCGGCTGAATTTGATCGAAGGTTCCTTCGATCAATTTCAGCTTTTGACAATTCCTGCAGTTGTCCAAGGTTTCCAATTTCAGCGTTCCGGCAGTTGTCCAAGGTCGGTCACGCGAAGCACGACTTAGAGAAGTACAACCATTAGATCGCCTGTCAATGGCACGCCATGATAGCAGTTTACTACAAGTGCCTGCTGGTGTTCGACATGGTCGTGATTCCGGACGTGGCTGCTGTCATCAAGCAACATTGGGATGAGCCTGTGTTTGACAACAGTTCGCAGATCGACCAGGAGGATGACAACCTCCATGACGTTAGCATTGCCTTCAGAAACATGACTTCGATCCAAAACTTGATTGAGAGAAGGTTCCTTCAATCTGAAACTGATCAATTTCAGATCGAAATTGATAGAAGGTTATTCTCGTCGAGTTATTTCTGTGTAAAATTCTGGATGAAATTGATTGAAGAATCTTCCCGACAAACTCTTTCAGTGTAAAATCTGGTTGGAATTGATCGAAATTTCTTTCGACATTACTATCTTTGGCTCTTGCAAGTGGTGATGCCTTATTTTGCCTAATTTGCTGCAGATTCGACACAAATAGTCATATGCCTAATATGCACAGGCCTGATCATACGCCATGAGCCGATCTTTCTGACTCTTACCCCACACATCATTCCACTCATTGCCAATCGAAGAGCGTGGTTAACTTTTGTTACACAATTTGTGTTATCTTTTCGCCCTCAAAGATGTAGAACTTTTGTTCACCCTTCCACTGCAAGTTTGAGTTCGTTCCAGTCCAATTTGAAGAAAAAATTAGGGCCATTTAATTGCAATGGTGTTAATAGACTCCAGTGAGGCAGACTTTGCTCCGTACGATTTTTCAGTTATGCTATCTTAAACATGATCAACTATTACATGTGATCGTGAACAAAAGTGGAACAGAGATTGGTAAGAATATGATTTTTAAATTGGACTGAAGTGCTCAATTGTTGCAACTATGGCCAGTAGATACTCCCAAGAGCGCTTAGTATAAATAGCGACTTCTCCTCGGTCTGCATCAATAAAGCGATCAATCTACGAAAAAATGTTGTGTGCCATCCTTGGGAAAGTTTGGTACACACTGTTCCCGATCATTTTATTGCACGGATGCATCTTCGTGTGAGTTTGTGTGCGAAAATACCAAGAATGATTAAATCATAACTTGTCCATTTTTGTAAATATGCTTAGCCTTTTATTTAGTCATATGTGGAACGCAAAAAACAAGCATCCTTTTCTTTTTGTATTCTTTCAGAATTCATATTCAACGTTCCACTCGTGAGCAAAGATACTACGAAATGGAATGCCAAACAGCGGGAATGGGGAGAACTTTACTACACTTTCTCAGTTGATGAAGAGCACGCATCAACTGAAAGAGCAGCAAAATAGGTATGTCCGGGAAAAAACTGCAGACTATTCAGGAGCTTCCTGCGATTCAATCCAACTTTGCAGATCATGAGGGCTTTAATTTCGGTGAACCTCATGACGGTGGCCGAAGTTTCCATCCTCCTCGTTTCTGCGTTTTGAAACTTCACCGTGTCTGGTAGTAATCGTTCACAGCAGACGCCACCATCAGATTCCATTTGACTCCGTAGAGCATTCTTCGAGGCGTGCGGGGCGAGTCTCCGATCATTCTCATCATCCTCTCTATCGTTCAACTTCTGTCGGTTCGGGTTCGTCGGGTTCGGTTCGGGTTCGTCGGCCGTTCTCTTGAAGCCATCAGTTCTCGCCGTTAGCCATACCAAATCCTGACACATGCTCTCAGAATGGTCCCTGTGCTCGTTAGCGAGGATCACGGCGAGGTGAGCAGACTTTTCCTCAGGTGCAGTAATATTCGCAGTGGACGCTAGGGCACTTTTGTAGCCGCTTTCGACACCTGCGTCGGTACCGGAAAGTTGACACCTGGAAGCTCAGGTATAGTACTCCTATCAGATGTGTCCTAGAAGTCCGAATACATCAGTCGAACCGTGGACACAGGTGAATATTATAGTATGCAGAACAAGTTTTTATCTAAGAGGGACAGGATCTGTTCTCAGGTCTATTCCGTGTTGAGGAGAGTACAGCGAGTCGCAGTTCAGACTGGACCATCGATAGAGGGAAGGATGAATCCTCGCAACCCTGTAGTAAGTCTGAAGAATTCTGAGATATTTCAGTGCAGTAAACTAAACCGGACTCTACTGGAAAATATGTTAAATGGATGTTTCTAAATTTAAGAACTTGCAGTATGCCTCCCTGCTGGTTGCCGCCTAATTAAAGAAGTCTCATCTGAACAGGTGATCGTGAACAGCAGAAGATTTTAGATCCCTGCTGACAAATTGAGATTCTGGATAGGAAAGATCATATGTACATCGTCCTCCAACCTCAATTGATTTCCTAAGTACTGTAATGTTACAAGTCGCAAATAGATTCGGAAACATCATCATCCCGAAAAAGAACTCGTTCGCTCCAGAAAAAGCTACCGACAGGAGCAAAATTGCTGTACAGGTCAAGGCTCAGCCTTTGGGCCGTCATCTGGGATAGTCTTAAATTATCGAACGTACTTATGGTACAATCTTGACGTCGTGAACAATAATAGTGGAACCGGCCTGCAGATGACGCGCCCAATATAAACAGAAAGTTAGAAGAAAAGAAGATCATGATGACCACTATTTACAAAGCCACATACTGTCAGTGACAAGAAACGTAACTCACCAGAAAAGTAGGAAGCAATAAACTGTATACAGGGAGCCATGGTGGCTCAAAGTCTGGTCAATTTCGGTCAATTGGTTGAGGTACAACTTCTAGAGCTTGTCTTCCCGGTTTAGTAACTTCTTATATACAGGTTCTAGATGAGATCTCTCCGCCTTGTCGGTGAGGGAGAAAGTCGTACAAAGTGGCCCAGCACTTTGCCGCCCCTGGGCTTCCAAAAAGAGCGCGTCTTCAAGTTCTTTCACAACTTCACTCATCGCTGGTCTGTGCTTCGCCTCTGGCTCCACACTGTACATAGCAATGTCCGCCACCTTCCACATCGAAGCAATGTTGTACGCCTTGTTCAAAGCCGGGTCTACGATGGCTTCTACGTTTCCCAGTTCCAGTTGATGCCTTACCTGCATATGTAGGAGCAGATAGAAACAATTATTGATGGTGAGCGACAGGTATATGCTAATGTCTTCATCGATAATAAGCGGCTACTTTGGAAACTAGTCCCCGAAAAGCAATTGGTCGGCCGCTTCTTGCTCCATTCGATTCACTGTTCTTGAACTTCACTTCTACACCGCAGAAACAGGAAGACAATCTTCCGATTTCTTGTATTTCAGGTCTTTTGAGCTTCCTCTAGTCGTACTTACCACAACTTCTAATCTATGATACGAAAATTGAATCATATTGGACTTTGACCAACAACGCTGGGGAACATCATCTTCTTCAACATCTTGAGAATGTACCTGCCAAAATTGTCATGAGGAAACTCTTCTCGGCACGACATAGACGAACTTACCCAATCTGAGAGGTTCCATTCTGCACGAGAAAGCTGAAGATTGACAGGTCTTCGTCCTGAGATTATCTCCAAGAGAACTACTCCAAAGCTGTAGACGTCACTCTTTTCAGTGAACTTTTGCTTTGAATAGAACCTACATTAGAGACGAAACATGCAAATCAAACGTTTGAAGTCGGATGCGAAATTTGAATTTCAACTCAAAACGCTCTGCTTCTTACGGAGACAAGCCTGGAGATTGGATGAGGGGGTTTACTCTGGATCAAGATATCCCGAGGTAGCACCCTTCACGAGGATGGAGACGTAGTTTGTTTCTCCTTCTGGAGCTAGATTTGATAGTCCAAAGTCAGCTACTTTGGCCGAAAATTTCTTGGTGAGAAGTATGTTGCTGCTTTTCATATTGCGATGAATGATAGGAGGATTGTAATCGGTGTGAAGGTGCAGAAGACCTGGAGCAGAACGTTCCGTCAGGTCACGATCTGATATGAAGGCAATATAACTGAATTTTCAGGAAATCAAAGTGACGGCCAGAACATTCAGGAGACAAATTCAAAACCAATACCTTTAGCTGCCTGAAGTGCGATATTAAGCCTCGCGTTCCAGGTCAGTAGCTTGGACGCTTCAGGATCTGGAAAATAAAAGAGGGCTCAAGTAAGTACTCTCACGTAAATGTAACAATAATATCAGAAGTGTTAGACGTCCTATCGAATTTTCTGATGGCTCTTCAAGACGAATAAGTTAGAATCTCCTACCGTTCAGATTGTTCATCAAGGAGCCTCCAGGCAGAAATTCATAAATTAGGAGCGAGTCCTCTGAGTCTTGACTGTATCCGATCATCGAAACAAGATTTTGATGCCGCACTCTCGCGAGAACATCAACCTAGAAACCGAAGAAAAATGTACGAGTGGTCTTAAAACGATTCTGTTGTTCTCCATGTTTAGAACTAGTCCATTTACATTTAGATTTCTATACACAAGGATATCATAGAAAAGTGCAAGCTATAAGAGCGTTACAGGGAGGATAATCTAAGACTTCTCTTACCCCATCTTGGAAGTCTTGGGTTCGGTAACAGCCGTGAATCCTGACGGCAATTTCCTTTCCACCAGAGAGTTTGCCGTAAAAAACAGGCCCGAAAGTTCCTTCGCCTACCTTCCTCATGAAATTGCGCGTTGCCTTCCTGATTTCAGACGAAGTGAATTCCCTGGCTTCAGCTGCCATCTCCAATTCTTCATTTGTTCGAGATCTAGTTCTCGTTCTGCCAACAGACCGCAAAGAAGTGGGAACAACCTCTTCTCTGTCCGCCGTGGCTGTAATTTCGATGAATGAAACTGAGCTTAGCATCTAGACAACTTGTTTCAAACAGACACACTGTCGTCACATCACTACAACCTCTCAAGAAGTGAAGTTTGGAACGAAATTTTGAATAGTACTTTTCTTAGTCTGAGTGGTACACAAACAAGCTAATGTAACTGGCAATTGAGCAGATATTAAGCAGGACAATATAGGCTAGTTTAAAACTGTACCTTGTAAATCTGAAATAGTATAGAAGTTCTTTCTCGGTGACTCTGGAAACTTGTTCTTCTTTTTTGAGAGGAAGAACCCAAACGTACCAATAACGATCAGAAAAAAAGTAGCGGCGACTCCAGCAACCACACTGATAATAACGACCGGAGTCTTCCTCTTGCGAGACTGAGATGAAGCATTCAAACTCTGAGACTGAGTACATGAACCACTGCCTGTGACGCAACCTGGTAATGACATCTCAGGATTTCCTGCAAGGCTAACTCCATCATATCCCAGAAAGTGTTAAAGAGAGAAACGAGCAAGTAAGACGTTTAATACCCAAGAAAGTAGAAACGTTCAAAGATGAATTGTTTGGCATATCCAAAACCTGCCCTGACCTGTCGATATGAGCGTACATGCAATCTTTTAATAAACGAGCGATACATTCCCAGAGAGCATCCTTCTTAAGTGCATCCTAAAGTACTGTACTGTCCTTTCATAATCTGCTTGATAAGGAGATTCAAGAGTTGCTTAAAATCAGCTCAAATGTCCAGCAAAAGTACCTGATCTTGAGATTGCTCTTTGTGAAAAGGCTCAAAGGCACCTGCCCACTGAAATGATTGTTATCCAGTATTCTGCATATAGCCAAACAACACATATAACTAACAGTGGGACCGATGCAGCTTTCCTCTGTTCTATTTGAGAGACTTCAGTGCCTGCTACAACTGCGTGCCCTGTAGAACTAGAAGGGGAGCAGCTACAACTTAGAACCAGGTTTCAATGACTTACATTTCGCCAAGGTAGTTCAATTTTCCGAGTGTTACTGGCAAAGATCCGTCCAATTCATTATCCTCGAGATGCCTACAGTTTTTCAAGACCCAGTCCGAGTTCAACTTCACTTAAAGAAACTCTATGAAGAATGAAATAATAAACCATCTCCTCAGACGACGATACATAAAAGACGCACCCAACAAAAGAGATCCAGGAGCAGATGCGAATAAATTTGGGGAGAACAGTCCAGATAACTTACAAGATTCGCAACTTCCTCAGAGAACTCAGATCAGGTATAGACCCTTCAAGTTGATTGTGATCCAACCACCTGCATTGCCACCGGTTTCAGGCCATCAACAACCATAACAACTTTTTCAACACTAACAGATTCTTAAAACTCAAAAGGAAGAACAATCATACTGATTATGTATTAACACCACTGGATTTCAAATAGTGACTTCCTTACAGATCAGTCAGTTCAGGCAAGTCGAGGACGCTTGAGGGTATAAATCCAGTTAAATTCATTCTCGACAGTAACCTGAGCAGGTAAGAAATGCCTTAATGTCAGCAGCCTGATATAAAAAAGTTCTTCACCCGCAAACAACCAACCGCTTGAAAATTTGACATATTGGATTGCTACGGAAGTTATCGTTCAAATGATTTTTCTTACACTGCAGAAACTCTGGGAGGATTCTCTGTCGTGCAGCTCAACCACTCCCATGCAATTGGCACACATGGATCACCCACGGAAAGCTGCTCGAGTTTGAAGCCACTGACTAAAGACCTGACGGCCAAGACTGCAAAAGGCAAAGAATCAACTGTGATTGAATTGGACATGGCGTTACAAGACGTGGAATTGAACCACCTTAATAACTTTTTCTGGAACTGTCAATGACGATTTTTATTACAAAATCAATGTCTGCTTGCTAACTTACTAAATCCATCGGAAGCACCACAAGAAGTGCTAGCTTACCGTCGCTTTCGAACGTCCCCACAGAGCCAGGAATAACACTGTAAATCTCAAGGGCATTAATGATCGGGCCGAGGTTGGAGTAGGGTCGCCGGGACAAAGTGACATTTATCACTTCAGAACCACTAATATTTCCTGCTGCGATCTCCAACCCACTGTGAAGTCCCGCAGAAATGGATAAGTCCCTCTTAATGTAAACACCGTTCAGAATAATGTCGAAGCTCCGGAGTACCTCCTCATCCAGATTTATAACTTCAGCGAAGTAGAGGTATGCACGGTAATAGTCACGGATGTCCGGGACTGGAACAATGATTGTCGTTGAAGACGTCAAGGCCGTCTCAAGAACAGCTGAAGGAGGATCCTCGCGGAGGTGTTCTTGTTCCACCTTCTCAGAGGTTGCTATTGTCTCTCGCAGTGCACCTTCGAAGAGCTTCATGTCCGAATCCCACACGCGATCATATGGATCATCCGGATACCTGCTCCACAATTTCCGGTACAACCATAAGTTTCAGTTCGGCCTTGAATACAGTAGATGTTGACGACAAGAAGACTAAACAACTCCATTCGATCCGTAATTTGAGCCCAGCCTAGTGAAAGTCGCACCTCACGGACTCGTCGGACTTCGCTCCAAAATTGATGCGAGAAATTCTGTTCAAGTATTGTCCGTCCTCAGCCGTATACATGCTCTCGCCGATGCGGCGCAGCTCCAAGGCAGAGATGAATGGCCTTTGGGATACACTTTCCGAGAATAAACAGACGCTCAAGACCTCGTCCTGGGCTGTTGCTATCGTTTCGTGCACCTCAAAGGAATCCTTGGATGTTTTGATAAAAGAAACAATGGTGGCATCAATAGCAAGATTGAATTCGGGAGGACTATCTTGACCATCGTAGTTCCCATAACGATAGGATGTTCGGACGAGGTAACGACTGCCCTTCTGAACTTGAAGAACGTAGCAGCTCATCTTATGGGATGCAGGGAAGTAACGTAATGTGTCAAGAGTAAAATCGGGCGAAGTAGCAGTCGTGTTCAACTTAGCGGTATAGCCTGTTGCCACGAAGCCACTGTCTGGAACCCATGTAATATTCCTGGGATCCACGTGAGCAGAACTTGCTCCACAGTCGATGCTTATGAAGCCTGAGTTGCCACAGAAACAGAGTTTTATCACACAGCATTAAGGGGGCTGTTTCACTTTCGCAAACAAAGCAGGGAAGCTGGTCCGTTCTAGGTGCAAAAGAAATAATGAAGACGAGATGACGCTACATTGGTCAATTCCTCGGGAAAAACGTGCCATGCTAGATAAGTCGTCGTCTGTTTAACGTAACAAAACTTCCATCAAAGACATTGCAAAGTCAATCGCGATGATTTACAGCAGCGAGACGCGTCATGTCGAAATTAGCAAAAGCTCATCGACATCCCATTCTATCTGCGCTTAGTCACTGTTATAGTCGCATTCGGATGCAATGTCCGTAACAAAACTACTCAGTTACAAACCAATGTGAAATTCGCGTGAAACCAAACGCAAAATCTCGTGAAGGTTTCAAGTTTTCTGACGTCCTCGCCAAACGGCGTGCATCATGCCCTACCTACACGCATTAATTCTCAATTACGTGAAAATCGTCCAACTTTAAGCTGATTCTCGTAAACCTGGACCTTGCTTCTGCCTATGAAATTGTTGTAAGTCTCGTGTCTTACTCGGCAGAGAGCTAACGCGGAAACCATTTCAGGCCTGTGAAATTGAATCCCGAAGCTCAAGAAGTGTGTCGACAACGATCGGTGTACGTCTAAAACATAGTGACCTCGCTAATCCCACTGTCAGTTGAGTTAATCCTATAAATTAATTCCAAAGATCAGCATCTAAAACAATGATAGTGACAAACCGGTTAACACAATGTTCATACCATTGTTTTGAACGAATATATTTCGAATCGCCCAAAACACTTTACCTTAACATTACATAGGTGTTCTACAAATTGCTTTCAACTTCCAGTCTACAACCCAACACAATTGTAACGAAATTAGTTGCAATTTTGGTTCGGCGGTGGTTACGATTCGTCTAGAGCTCCAGTCGCATGCATCGGATACAGCCTCCCAACTACAACTCCCAGATGAACATGTGTTAAAATATATCGTTCTTGACGTTTGGGTTATGGCTACAGTTTCATTGAATACCTGTAAATCGCTCGTGGCGAGGCAATCTGAACCCACGACGCGCTCCTACAATCTTAAAATTCGTTCTCTCCATGCACGTACGAGAGAGGAGATTTTACGTGATTTCTTCATTATTCCCGCAAAAGCAAGAGAGACTACTTCGGTCCACATTCTAATAACACTCTGCGGGTCTTCGTAGGAGGGTTATTATTTAAATTCTGGCCGGTATTAGAGTTGAACCAACCAGTCCACCAGACAGACAATTAAGGAAACGAGCCATAAGCTGCATACCTGTGTCAGCAAGCGTCTGAAGGAAAGCTCCGCCAAATACCAATAAGAGAACAATCACAGCCTCCGCCTCCATTGCAGACGAATGCTCACGGTCGAGACGCAAATGACTGGAATGAGTATATACGGTCTCCGATGCCACGAAAATCGTCCAAATCGACAGTTCCTATTCAGAGCTCCGGAGCAATTACGTTCTTCATTTCGTGTATAGCTAGTCTCATGGTAAGGCAGCACTAACCATGCGTTCTTAATTTCGTCGTTTTATAATAAAGCATAAGAGATTTAAAAGCTACGAGATGAAAAAAGTGTCGAGCACTACTTCTGAACACCATGATATACTGTCTTCTAATTGCAGTAAATGCAATTCCGACTGCGGACAATCTCCATTTAGAAATTGTAGAGAGTTTTTCGTAAGATTCAGGTACTAAATGCATACTACCAGCTGACATATCGTAAATTGGATTCCACTATTCACAGTTCAATTCATTTACGTGGCAGTGTCGTGGTCCGTGAGCTCGAAGCATCCCAAAGCTTACAACGCAACCAGACGCCGCCAATCACCATTTTCACCACGCAAACAACAAACCCCGTCGATAAATCTGCCGCCGCGTCCCTCCGTGTCCACTGAAGAGCACCAAGCCAGCGCTCGAATTCTTCAACTTGTCGAAACCTACGAACGATACATTTTTTTCTTCAATTCTCCTCCTCTGGCGAAACCCCCCAGCTGCGCGCGCGCCGAAAGAGCCCAAATTCTCGTCGTCCCTTCGAACAGCAGCTCCGCGCAGGATTCTAGAGCACTTCCGCCCGAGCAGGCAGCGGCATTTCGATTTGCCGAGCGCAATTGCTCTCGCTCGCCGAAGTGCCTCCGAACTGCCGTCAGGAGGATCTTCGCGTGCACTGTCGAGAACTCTCCCGCGCGCCAACCACCAACGTTCGAGGCCCGCGGCTTCCCTTCAAGAACGTACAGCGGCCTGAGAAGGCGCTGCCCGAAGCGAAGTCAAAGCGAGCCAGAGTCAGGACAGGGCAGGAACATCCTGCCTCGCGGGGCTTGCTTAAGTCCGCCACAGTTGGCAGCGGGGCGTGGCGCTTTCGCTGCAGGCTGCCGATCGCGCGGGCCGGGCTCAGGCCGACCAGGAGCGGCGGGAGTTCGGGGAGTTGTCCGACATCTTCCCGTGAGGCAGATAAGTAACGGCTGCAGTACGAGTCGTCGTCGGGCACGATGCGACGTGAAAGATCGCCCGCGCGCTCTCCATTAATCGAGATCGTGTTCAGCGCGGGCGAGCCGGACGCCGCCATGAAGGGGCGCCACGTCACCGCTCCACGTCGGCAGCCGAAGGTCTCCTTCACACGATGCAGGCGCGGTTCTGGCTGCTGAAAAACGTCCAGCGGTGTCAGGGAGCAAATGCCGCCAATTAATGACACCGCAGTCTCATCATCGCCACCAACTTAATTCGACCTCATTTCTTTTGCCTCCTAAACGGGACCTCTGAGAGCTCAGATACACATGGTCTCTAATTACTCAGAGCTGGCATCCGGGTTTTATTAGTATCAGGCGTATATTTATCCGCCACTCGACAAGGTATAATTCCAAAATCAAAGGAAATTCGATAATTTAGCAATGAACCCCGGTTATCATCATTATTGTTTTCCATCCTTTCGAGTTTGACAGCTATGAACGTACAGTCCCAAATTGGAACCTATGGATGGTTGGTGTGCGAAAGTCGTGCAGTGGACTGATCAAAATTCACTCATTCCATCTATACCGCACTTTCACCCCATTCGTGGTGGCTTTGTCGATCACGTAAACCGTGCAGATTGAATGGACACAGAATTTTTTTCTCCTGATTGTGTTGTTCCTGTTGATTTGATATTACAGAGATTCCACCCATATCATCTTACAATTCATTCCTACTGTGGAACTTTCTCCGTTTAACGTGCAATTAGACGTAGTTTTGTCTTTTAAGAAACGAGTATCATGCACCACCATCAATGGAAGGACTACCAACACTTCTATTGAATTAAGAAACTTTAAGATTTTCTGTTGTTCGTGGCCTCTGAGATAAAAAACCGTACAAAAATTTATAAACAAATTCGATTATACATATACATCAAGAAAATGAAAAAATAAAATCACAGAAAAGTACGGAGAAGAAAGGAACTAAACGAGACGTATGGTTTGGTGATTTCTTTCGGACTTGATAGCTGGCGGAGCAGAGGACTAATCCAGAAGAAACTCCTGTTTTGCTAGAGCACAAAACTGCATCTAACTGGTCTAATCACAAGCAGTGCAGTTTATCACTCCTTTTGCAGTCGCTCACAAGCAGCCGGAATGAAGAATACTCTTTGGATCCTTCCTCTTTACAGATGGCAAAACCTTCCACCTACTTGTTCTCTCAACTTCTTACACTATGGAGCTTCCTACTTTCTTTCCATCCCAATCTACAAATGTGTACACAAAACTCGTCTGTCTATGAAGTCATCCAGAGCGAGGATGATCTGAACACAAATAAACACATTAATTAAGATTCATGTGACATGATCACAGAACAGATCCCAAGAAGTAAACCCTTTTCAACTCAATTTTTTATAAAAAATAATCAATGCCAAAATTTTGATAGAAAAAAATGACCAATATTTTCTTGAATCAACCGACGATAAACCTCATCCAAATTTCGAATATCAAAATATCTTTTAATCATCGATAGACAACAAGTTTTCTTTCTTGCTAGATGACTACATTTTTTGCAGGAGTTAAAATCTAGTAACAACTGTTTCGTGTCAGAGAACAAAAGCCCGTGCCATGACATCAGTTCGTATCCATTATCTAAAAATGTGACATGTTACTTTAAAAAGAACTCAAACACATTCAAAATAATGTATGAAATCACAAACCTAAATTATCAATACGTATCATACAAGTATTTACTTATTTATTCGAAATATACTATAAATGAATACTTTCATATGATAGTGTTAATTTGAAACATATCGTAAAACTTTCGAGTTGAATGATGACATTAATTTTAATTAGAAAATTTGGATCAACAATTTTGTAATATTTTGTAAAATATGCATAATATTAAATTATACTTTAATAAAAAATCATACATATTTAAATTAATCATTTAAGTCTTTTGTAAAAATTTAATGATTTTATTTTGATATTTTATTATTTTTAGAAACCTGATTACAGTACATGACTTACATCAAAATGTGTGAATTTTATCTTCCAATATTTATTGATATGATAAAATTTTATATTACTTTTAGATAATTTGAAATATTTTTATATAAAAAATTGATAATTATTTAATTATAACTATGATTAAGAACTGAACAAATATAATTAGTTATTTTTTAAAATTTTGTATTATAGTATGTATATTTCATCCTTAACATATGAGATGTTATCATTACAATCAATTTTCAAAAAATTAATGAAGTGTGCCTCTTTTAATTTGAAAAAAAATTGTTTATATATATATTTTTTAACATTAAATTTTTTACTTATTTTTTAAATAGAAGTGCTTCAAAATTTTCTTTTTATTGTCAAATTATTAGAAATGTATACATGTTTTTAAACCTCTATTTCATGTTACAATCTTCACTTCAAAATTTTGATGTAAAGATGGTGTTCAACTAGACATAGTCAAATGATGAATCAATTTATTTTTTGATGATATCTCGTGTATCTATGTTTTTGTGTGAACTTCATCCAACAATTGATTATAGAGCAATAGTGCAAAGCTTGATAGAAATTGTTTCATGCTATTGAAAAATTCTCTGCCATTAACTGTATACTACCTTATCTAAGCACCTCCGAGCCTTTCACTTATATATTAGCCAGTGAAAATTTGGAAGTAGATATTTTTGATTTGTTACATCATTATCATCTTTTGTTAAATCAGTTAGATTTCAACGGCTCTGAACATACTAATAGAGTGTTAATATTACGATAGACCTAAACATAATGCACATTGTATTGATGATCATAAAAGTGAACACGTTTGAACCAACTATCCATTAGACTGTTGTAATGACTCACGATAAGCTATTGCTCACAAACATTGATCGAAACTACATCACATCATATGTACAAGCATACTTATTGAATATAGCAGTCTGTCTAAATACAAATCAGCTTTTGCAGCATGATATCACAAGCGTAAGTGTTTTATTTCGATACTCATGTTAAGATTGTGAATACTTTATCTCGATGATTTCAATTTTAGAATTTTGTCCCTCTCTTTCATTTAGAAACAGGATTCCTTGAGAAAAGCAAATCACATGGATCAAACACAAAAACAATCATCAAAAAGTAATATTATTCATCTCATATTAGCAATCCTATAATGATCACAATTACCACGACTTTGACATGAGACATTTTAGCAACTAAGATCAAGCAACAAGCATAAACGCCGTCATGAGTCTTGCAATTATTTTCCTTTGAGATATACAAATTCTCGTAAATTTTCTTAACGCTCTATAGAAATATCGTATGACAACAACAAAATTAGATCTTCACTTTTCATAACTTAGAACTATACGATTGCAATGAGTGTGATGAGAAAAGACATAGTTTTATGATTCTTACATCTTATTGATTGAGTTACATCTTAGTTGTATAATTGTCATCAACATCATATTTAGAAAAAGCTTAAAGCGCTTCAAATCTCCTACAACATTCTAAAACATTCCAAAAAGTTCAAGGTAAACAACGTGAAATGTAATCTTGACAATCATGATGATCATCACATGATTGTTTTTGAGACAATTGTTGTTGTGTTATTTGACATTGATCCAATTCTAATTGTAGCGAATATTGTGAGCTATGATGAGATTTATGTACTTTCTGTATTTTTTAATTCAATAGATGAAAAGTAATTTTGATTTTTTATAGCGATGTCTTCTCACATCTAACTGAAAATAATTCTATTCTTTACTATCTTGAAGATTAAATTAATCATATTTAAGTGAGAAGTACGAGCAATCAAGTACTTCCATTTGTGGAAAGTACTAGTTTACCTTGAATCAAATAAAGGTATTTGTTTTTTTTGACATGGTAAGTATAAAGCGTGATTTATTGTTGCATTGAACGTATTATTGATTTAGACTATACGCTATTTTTTAGCTTAAAAATTTGTTACATTTTTGCTAGAAAGATTTCACGTAGCATCATGCATCAAGGAGAACAAATTCCACATAAAAGCTTATACAAGCTATTAAAGCAAAAAGATTTGTAAACCACAATCATTGCACCGTGTACTCCAACATAATTTTTCCATTTCACTAAAGTTTAAAATTATAAAAGTTTTAAAGCCAGATCTTCAGACTTATTAGTCTCTCCGACCGAGCTCTAGCACAATAGATTGGACAATAACAACTATCAAAACCTACTCTTGATGACATCTAAGAAGTTGGTTGCTATAATTTTTCTTCAAATTTGTCGCATTCAATCTTTATGTGCTACTTGTTTGAAAACCAAGCATAGCCAAATTCTCTCATACACAAACAATTCGTGCATTATTGTTATTGCACCTTGTACTTATGCTAGTATCTTCATTCTAAATTTCTAACAACAAAAATTTACATATTGATCTTTTATCAACAATTTTACATATTATACTCAGAGTAAATGTCAAAGACTTATCAAATTGTATCTACAATTTTCATTTTATTTGTAATATTAATATACTTGAATATTTGAAGATTTGTAATATTGTATCAACAATTTTACATATCAAAGACACTTTTGAGTGTCAAAGACAAGACGGTACATCAATTTTGATATTTCAAAATAATGATGAAGATTAATTACATCCACAAAATTACGACATTGCAAACTAATGTGTTAATATATCTCCAAGACTTATCATGCTTTTTTGCTTACACTCAAGTATCCATCATAGTATAATTTGTGCGTACAGTCTACATCAAAATGAAGTTT